GGTGGAAATGCCAAACAGTACAGCCACCTTGGAAGACAGCCCGGCAGTTTCTTACAAAGCCACACACATAGGTTAACGTTATGATCCAGCAACCATGCTGCTAGTTAGATATCAAGTGAGATGAAAATTTATATTCACATAAAAACCTGCACACGAATATTTATTGCAGCTTTATCCATAATTGCCCAATATTGGAAGCAAGCAAGATGTCCTTCAATAGGTGAACGAACAGATAAACAAACTATGCTACATCCATACAATGGAGTACTAGTCAGCAAAAAAAAAAAAAAAAATGAGCTATCAAGCCACAAAAAGACATGGAGGAACCTTAGCTATATATTGCTAAGTGAAAGAAACCAGTCTGAAAAGGCTGCATACTGTGAGATTCCAACCCTAGGGCTTTCTGGAAAAGACAACACTATAGACACAATAAAAAGATGAGTGGTTACCAGGGAGTGATGGGAGTAACAAGGTGGAACATAGGATATTTTCATGGCAGTGGAACCATCCTGTATGACTACTGTGGTGATATTGCAGTGGTGGGCACATGATATGATGCATCCATCAACACTCACAGGTCCATATGACCCAAAGCACCAACCTTTATGAACACTATGGATTTAAATGAATAATAATGTATCCATATTGGTTCATCAATTGTAGCAAAGGAATTCAAGATGTTAGTAATAGGGGAAATTATGTGTGTGCGGGTGGTGGCAGTGAAAAGGGGGCAGGTTCAGGAACTGTGTGTTCAAGACAGCAATGGGACATCCTGCACTGAAGCAATCACCTGGCTCACTCTTGGTAAAGTTTATTTACTTGCGGGCTGGTGGTTGGGCGTGGGGGCTGTGGCAGTCCCTGTGGCTGCTATAACAAAGTACCACAAAGCGGGTGGCCTACAAGAGCAGAAATTAATTGTCTCAATTCTGGAGGCCGGAAGACCGAGAGCGGGTGTCGGCCATGTTGATTCCTGCTGAGGCTCGTGGGACAGTCTGTCCCTTGCCTCTGCTTCTGGTGGCAGCTGGTGCACCTTGGCTGGGAGCTGCAGCGTCCATGCTGTCTGTCTGTGTTAGCCAGAGCTGCTGTAACACAAATACCACAAGTGGGTGGCTTTAAAGAACAGAAATATATTTTCTCACAGTTCAAGAGGCTAAAAGTCTGAATTCAGGCTCTCTGTCATCTCTTTCCATTTTTGGAGACCCTGCATCCCTTGATTCCTGGGCGATCTCCACATGGCATCTACCTCCCCCTCCATTTGTGTCTGTTTGTCTTTGTGCCTAATCTGATCTCTTTTCTTATTATTGTGATTTGGGTGAACGTTTACAGAGCAAATTCACTTTCCAAACAGCAGTTCACACACACGTTGTCTCATGACATTGACCACAATTTACCACAATGCAACAGCTCCCCTCCCACTTCCTCCCCATAGTTACCTCTTCCCTGTGTCCATCCCTCCATGCACTCCTGCCCCCTGAGCTGTCTCCCTGTGCATACACAGCCCTTCTTTCTCCCATGATTTGTTCTCTCCAAGGAGTGTATCTACCTCAGGTACATGTTCAACTCATGTGCCTGTCTTTTGTTTAATCTGATCTTTTTGTATCTCAAAAGTGGTTAGCATAAGACATACCCTATACTGATAATGACCTTCTTGACATAACGAAGAAAAACCTATTCCCAGTTGGGATCCCATCCACAGGAACAGGGATTAGTACTTCATCACATAATTTTGGGGGACACAATTCAATCATAATTGTATCTCTTCTCCTCTTCTTATAAAGACACTATTCATATTGGATTAGGACCCATTCTCCTCAAGCATGACCTCATGTTAACCTAACTGATGATATCATCAGATATCTTACTTCCAAACAAGGGCATGTTCATAGGTACTGGGGGTTAAGATGTCAACAAATCATATTGACCCATGTCACTTTAGTTTTATGTATTTCACTGTACATAAATTATATGTCAATAAAATGTATTTTTTAAAAAAGTTGTCAACAAATCTTTTTGGGGGACACATTTCAGTTCACAACAGAGGGACACAGAGATTTGCACTCACATCTTACTGAAGAGCTCTGAGGTGACAGCAGGGTGATTTTTCAGAAAGCACCAAACACCAAGCTCCAGCACCCAAGTATCTGATGCCCCAAACATGTTGCAGGGACAGGCGCTTGCCCCTCACCCTGACCCTTTACACCAACGATGGGAAAAGAGTGGGGCTTAGCATCCTGCAGCCCCAGGCCCAGCCCTGCCCAGACCCCCTCACTGTGTGACTCAGACAATCCTGGCCTCAGTTTCTTCCTCCATAAGATAGGTTCAGAGTCTTTGATGGACAAGATGGCTAAAGTGCCCAGCTGGAATCAGGTTCAAGGAAGAAAGCCACAAAACATATTCCCCCTCCCTCCTATCCTCCTGTTTCCAAGGTTCCAGGCCAAATGGCTTCAGATCCCCTAGGGAAGAAAACAGGGAGAGGTCCAAGGAGGGAGAGACTGGTGTGGGAGTCACCACAAGTTCCTGGTGTGTTGTGTGACCCTGGCCAAGCTGCTGCCCTCCTTGGGCCTCAGTTTTCCCACCTGTGAAATGGGGTGCAGGGGGTTGGATGTGGGAACCTCCAAAACCTTCTCTAAGGTCCAGACGTATCCCAAGGAAGAGGTGGGGTCTTTCTGAGACCTTGATGTTGGGCCTGGGAGTTTTCCATGTGGTCCAGAGGAAACCTCAATACCATTGAATTCTAGACAGAAAAACATCCAGCATCTGCATAGTTTTGAAGGGAGCAGCA